GCTGAGCGCAACGCGGAATGAAGCGTTGATAGTAGTTGACCAAACCACCAAATCGACGGAGGTGCTTGAACGAAGTCGGAGCTGGGAAGTCCTTGGTTGCCTGGATCTTATCAGGGAAGACTTCGATACCAGACGATGAAACGCGGTGGCATAGGGATTCTTTCGTTGATTTGCCGAGTTCGCACTTAGTCGGATTGACTGTGACACCATGGTGGGTCAAGCGCTGGAAGAGAGTTCGATTATGCTTGAGGTGCTCTTGTTCCGATGAACTGGCTGCTAAAATATCATCGAGGTAGGAATAGGCGAAGTCTAGGCCACGAGTAACATTGTGGATGAAGCGTTGGAAGGTTTGTGCGGCGTTGCACAGTCCAAATGGCATTCTTAATAATTCGAAAAAGCCGAAAGGTGTGATGACGGCAGTTTTAGGAATGTCATAGTCTTGCACAGATATCTGGTGATAGACGCGGACCAGATCGATCTTGCTGAAGATCGTCTTACTTGTGAGGCATGCGTTAAGGTCCTGCATGTGTGGGATGGGATACCTATCTGGCACGGTTAGGCGATTGAGTGCGCGGTAATCACCGCAAGGGCGCCAACCACCAGATTTCTTGGGGACCATCTGCAGGGGCGAGGACCAAGGGCTGTCGGAAGGGCGGATTATTCCAAGTTCAAGCATGTGCTCAAACTCCGCCCTAGCTACCTTTAGTTTCTCAGGCGATAGTCGGCGTGGACGGCATGAGACGGGTGGGCCATTCGTGCGTATGTGGTGCGTGACTTGGGATGCCACGGGTAAAGCTGCGTTCATTGGCTGAATGAGCTTGGGATACTGAGAAAAGTGGTTGGCGTAGTCTGGCGAGGTCTGGGGAATGAGGTACACCGGGTTGATGGATGCGATATCGACCTTGATGCCACATACACTGAGCTTCTTTGCAGTGTGAACTCTCATCTGGCGTTTCGCATCGACCAACAGGTCGAAATGCCTGATGATGGCAAAGGGGACTGCAGCGACAGTGAATATCCCGCGGAAAGTGCGCCGAAGACCTAGGTCCAGGGTAAGCGACCGATGACCGTAGGTGGCTATTGGCGGCACTGAGGCTTGTCGCCAACGAAGTGAGAGGCTCACCTGACATAGGGGGAATGACGCTGATTTCCGCTCCGGTATCAACTAAGAACTGAGTTTCGGAGTCATAATCCCTAATGTAGATGAGACGACTTCGGGCTTTGCCGACATCGTTTGGGGCGATTACAGGCCGGCGTGGTGGATCATCTGTAGCGGAGTAGCTACATGGCTGTACGCACTTACGTGCTTTATTACTTATACACGTGTGGTAAAAGCAGTAACGTGGGGCATCAGGTATTGTGCGACGGGTCTATGATCCAGAGCGGCTTCGGTGATTACGGTTTAAAGTGCGCTCCTCTATCTAGCGATGATGCGTCGCTATCTGCGATGATGTTGCGTTTATTGCCCACAGCTGGCTGGTCGCGCCTGTCGTTGTGGTTGCCCTAGCACAAAGCTGCTTAGGTGCTTTGGTTTTAATCTCTGGCTGGTGCTGTTGGATGACGCGGTCTGCTGGATCTGCAATTGCTGTGATGGGCAAGTCACTTGCTACTGCAAGGATAGCCTGAGTGCTTGCAGGAAGGCGTTGCATCCACAGCTCGCGGAGAATCCCTACGTCCATGTTGGAAGTGCCAATGGGCTGTTGCATTTCGCGCAACAAGGCTGAGGGCATCTTATCTCCTAGTTGCAGCTTCTCTAAATAGTTGCTGCAGACGGACCTCGTCAGAACGCGTGATTCGCTGACTAATAGCCTCTGTAGGATTCTCGTATTTCATTACAAGTGGGAGGCAAAATATGGTGCCTCTCACCTGCGAGGATATACTCTGAGGAAGGCGAGCTATTAACTGCTTACGTATGGGGAAATCAAAAGAAATCCTACAAATGTAAAAAGTGGCTTCTAGATACAAAAACCATAATGCAATTGTATTTACCATGACAGGCTCTTCGGCGCTAACCGCGTGTGGAAGTGGTTTATCCTCTATATAGTCCATAGCAAAAAGCGAATAAAAAGGTAGGTGAGCAAACAATATGATCACTAGTAATGAATCACAAAATCACTGGAACGAGCTCACCAGAATGAAAATTCAAAATGCTGGCGGTGTGTTCTGGACCGGAGTCACCAATTTTGGGTAACGCCTGGAATACCAGTCGGTAAGCAGTGATACGTAAGAAAGTGTCAAATACGGGACAGCATAGAAGTTGGAGGCTACTGAACGCACGCTACAAAAATAGGAAGCGACTCAACAAGAGCGAGAAATGGTGCTGCAAGATATTCACCAAAGCAATTTGTGTCAACGAAACTACCGTCAGTAAAACAAGTGGACATTTTGACAGTTTGTACAACGGTAACATCCAATGTTGCAAAATACTGAAAGGACGTGTTTTCCGGTATACTACACTCTCAAGTTTCGGTGTTGTTAGCTGACCTTTACTAGACAGAATCTTGCTTATTTTAAAAGACAGATACACATTGTATATGAATCAATCCTGATGCGTCGTATACTCCTCGAATACTAGTCGGTAGCGGTGACATATATGATATGGGCGAATTACGAAACGATAGAAAAAGTTGAGGCGGTTGGACTCAACGTATATTGCAAAGGCTACATGAAATGTAGAGTCAAGCAGCAAGAACGAGGAGCAACCTAACGCGGCCTCACCGGGCAGAGAGTGTATAAGGGACGTACACCCAGAAAAACAAATGGATAGTCAGAACGCATTAGGACCAGTGAAATTAAATGTTGTGAATTACTGAAAGAGCTTATCTTTTCAGGTTCATTGCAATTGACAACAGCTCCACTGTAGGCACCTGCTTTTTTACACTTCCTTTGTGCGCATACCCCATTATGTCATTTTGATGTGCCCTGTGCCCATCAGGAACAAAGTAGTTCCACCACAACTCACTCTCACGTTATGTATCGTCTCTACGATGTTGGTTGGGCAGTTCTAAGCATTAGGTGCCCTGTCAAGTCATACCTTGTTTGCTAAGGTTTGTTGAAATGGACAGGTAATAAGAGATGAGTACAATTATGTGTTAACCTACCTTTTTCTTTCCATAACGATGAAGATTCGCACTCACAATCGAGCGCAAGTTTTGGTCAAGAAAGAATGACCTACACCTACCGTGTCGCATGTTCCATGTATGTATTTCAAGGTGTGCTGAAGAGATCTTTCATCTTTTCTTCTTGACCAGTGCTATCGATCTTGGGGTCATCTTTTGCTTTACTGTACCTTCAGCTCTCAAGTGAAAACGGATTTCTTTATGTTTGTTTATATTGTATGTCCACAAGCTGGCGATCGTTTTTGCATTCATAAGATCTTTTCCTCTTCCCACTGTTCATCTTGCTGACTAGCACGTTGAACACAAAACTGAATTCTTTTAGTGAAGTTTCCTTTTCTTATCTGAAGCCATCGGAGCAGTTTAAACAGATGTTCACCGACCTGTTCCCCTTCCTCTATGCATTACGTTGACCCCGATCTCGGCATTCTTGGTCGGTGTCTAAGTCAATTGCCCGTGGCAGTGCAACTCAACTATGAATTAATGTTCTCAATCTAACTGATTCCTAGGTGCTGTCAACCGGATGAATAAGCGTTGCTCCGCAACCAATACTCACTCCTATCTCTTTTATGACAGGAACTGTAGTGAAACTTGTTGTGGATAGCGTTTACAAGTGATCAGTTCAATGGAAAAATGCGGAGTGCTTCACTTACGATACCAGCTAGCGTGTTGATTTAAACTGGGCAATCAAGAGCTTTAAACTGTTTACAGCGGAAAGAATGTGGAAGCTTTAATTCAGGCTAACTTTCGCTATTCGGATTTGTCTGGAAAGACATCAAGAAGCAGCATACAATACGCGTTCCTCTTGCGGCATGCATTTGGACATTTCGACCCGTCGCTTTTTCAGCAGCTTCTCGACGCATACACACGTGCACACGTGGAATATGAAATACTGGTCAGGCAGCCATGGCTGAGGGGAGACCTCACCGTTTTGAAGTTACCCCAACGCTTGGCAAACCAAGAGCGTTAAAGACTTGCACAATATTCCACCTACGGGCAAATGTAGGGAGTTCTCGGGCTGTTCAGTGAATGTTACTGATAATTTCATGGGCACCTTTTTATGACTTATCGAATGTTGAGGGACCCCAATCTGCTGGAACGTAGTCAAAATAGCAGTCTGAGAGGCCAGTATCTCAATCTGACAGAACAGTGCGGTCGTTTGGAATGCTGTCGCAATTTTTTCCCATACATATTTGCCAACCCTGGAATACCCTTTACGAAATCTGTCATTTGTGCTCTCTCATTGATAAAGTTTAAATCCCGAATTGTCTGTGAACTCATTTTACTGCACCACCTCACCTGACTGATTGCCATTGTCAAACACGAATGTGTGCTAGAGAGTTCACTACTATTGAGCTACCTTTTTATCTCTTGTACGTGTTCACCGGGGGTAACTCCTTTTGTAAAAATGTTCCATTTGTCACCATGCCTCATAGATGTATATCGCATTTCCGACTTTTCCTGAGTGTACCTAGTTGAGTCTATCGGTGTAAACCTTACGGTGTTCACCCTGACTATCTCACGGAACATTTTGAGCTTAGACTTGTTTGTACGTATTAAACCATTGTTCCATTGTTACTGTGTATTGATGGAAACTGTTTGCGTCACCCACTATGTTCGTTAACCATTAACTTTACAAAAGTATTTGGATGATGCCCTAATTGCAGTGGTGTCTTTCCCGTTGTCCCGGAGTACTGTGAAAGATAGACCAAAAACTTTGGTTTACACCTATTGTGTAGTGTAATGACACTTGTTCCAATAAGAGGAATGTTGGTATACACATTGCCGCATGCGACGCTCGTGTGAACTCGCACTTCTATAGACGTATCATATCGTATATATAGACATTCATATAATTGTCCATTCTTCCTCTATCTTCTGCAGGATATTTACACAGACAAGTTAGAACACGGTGACCGTTCGAAGACAATGAAGCGTTTGAGAGTTCCGCCCTTATCGGAGCGCGTAAGTCACACACATTAGTTAAACGTGTCTATACCAAGAACTGACGAATACAAATGTGAAAAGCACGGAAAGATGAAAGGTTTTGTCTTCTTTCCCAACTTTTTAACTACAAATATGCTTGTTCTATATCGAGCAGTCATCATTTTCAACTTGGAAATTCAGTCAGAAAGGCCTTTTTCCTATACTGTAGTCGTGATTTGGCTCCTTTTACTTTTTACAAATGTCAATTCATCGTGGACTTTTCGGGTGTCACTACTGCGCGGAGAATAACAGCAAGCGCTGGAGTGATTTGTACATTTCTCCGCTTGGACTCCTCTTTGTTATCATGTGAAATACCATGCTGACCCCGTTTCCTTCATCTAGCAGTGTCCGGGCACCTGTTATGGTTTCATCATCTAGGGCAACGAACGAGCAGTGGGGATGTGATCACCTACTATCTTCGTTTTGAGTTATGTGATTCACAGCACTTAATGGATTTTGGTGTCGGTTTACTGCTTCCAGCTAGGAGTCGGATTGTATGTAAGACTTTGGGCTTATTGAGAAGGGGTGACGCTCTCTTAGACTCAACAGGTGTAGAACTGCTACGTGCAGTTATTTCAAATTTTGGTTCCTTCGTCGGCTAAGCATCCACTTGGGCAATTATCTTCTCACAGCATGTTATCTCCGCTCATAACCGGATACACGATTACTACACTCACGTGGTGAGTATTTACAATTTTAGTACGATCGTTTGATTAGCTTTCCGGGTGGGAATTTTATCAAATAATCAGTCGGATGCTAGACTTTTGTTTAGATACTTCACCAATGAATTCCTTTGTTATTCACAGCGTACAAAAATGCATGTTGCGTGCGTTTTGTCAAGTTTTTCCGCGCGTAATGACTGAACGGAATTCAGGTTGACTACGACTCAGAGAAGCTTACCCAGTGAACCAACGATAAACAAAGCCATCGCTTAACAGTGTAATCCCATGCGCGAGCGATGACGGTGCAACCAGAGAGAAAGAGAAAGAGAGAGAGAAAACTGAGGTTCAGTATAAATGCCTGTACTGGCTTCACGGAAGGTGAACACAGGGCTTTATACACCCGAATTTACAGCGCAACTGTTTTCCCACATGGAACATGCGTCCATAGACGAGAGTATGTACTGAAGGCTGCTTCGCTATGTTGCGAAAGTCACACGGATGTGGTTTTTGTGAGAACGCATGATCACTCCGTAACTAATGCCAAATGGACTAGTTTCTCTTCTTCCATCACCGACGAGACTGGACCTTAACTTAGTGCGATGCTTTTCGTACCTCAGCGATCAGTTGAGCTCTGCTGAGTGGTGCGTTTTGCGCCTTTAGTGCCACTTATACTAGATTGGTCAATGTCTAGAGGCCAGACGAACTTAGTTTCCTGGCTCTCCAAGTTGGGAGCTGATGTCAGGGTGGATCCTTGCTCCCTAAAGCAGAATACTTGTAGCACACTGCCAAACTCCCATTGCGTTACGGTCACGTTTTTGAACCATAGGCTTTGGTTGAGAACCTTAACCGTTCTCCTGTCTAGGCCTGGCTAATCTGATGGTACCCTAACCATGCAGTACAATGCTCTGACCGTCGCAGATAATTATAAACGGTGACCTATCTACTGCATTGAACAGGGTGGGTAGGGGTGAGGAAGCTACTGCTCAGGTCTTCCCGTCGTCTTATTTACCCTTCTGCGTTCTTTCAACCTTATCGTCCGGTTCCAAATTCCCCCTTATTTTCAACCCCCCAATGCATAACCCTCCCCCATCTTGCTTCGATTATCGCCTGTCTTTTAGCTTCGAATCACACTCAATTGCATGGCGTCGCTTCAGTCCACTCGGCAAATCCATGTTCAAGCAAGCGGACAACGGCAGTTCACCCACTTATATTCGGGGCCCTGTATCCTGGATTAGACCAGGATGTTATCAACTCGGTCAAATATGCGTCATTTGTCCAAAAATTAAAGCCCCTATCGAATGATATCTGCTCCTTAACCAAAGCCCATCTGCAAGATACTCCCGTTCTGTGCTCATCCTGCGATCCTAAACATGTAACACTTGAAACACTTTCTCAATGCGCTTGTCTGGAAATGACGCAACTTCAAACGCCGGTCAAACCCTTATAGGCACTTTCTGAATTCCTGGGCTGAAGCTTTTCTGATCGATTAGACCCCAAGCAGCAGCCGAATATGTGCGTCAGATTAGTTGGCTCGTTCAAAGCTTCGAATTCGCGCGGGAACAAACGGTGCCTATTTATGATTGTTACATACGCCCCCACAAACGGTAACGCTGATTCGATGAAAGATGACCTTTACCAACGACTGAATGAGCTCCTTTTTTAAAGAAATGTAGGGACACTGTGATGCTGGCTGGCGATCCGAACGCTCATTGCGGCAAACTGTCCACTGATGAGGTGCATTTGGCGGCCAACATGGTGTAGGCTCTCGTAATGTTAGCGGTGTACGGTTGCTGCACTTGTGTGAAGGTGCTCGAGTATTTCTCGCGAGCACCAACTTCTGACACAGCACCTGCAGCAAACTGACATGTCGTCCACCAGCCTCTATTCAGCCTCGGACGCAAATCGACCATATCGCGATCATTTACCGCTGAAGATGCTGTGTCCAAAACTGTCTTTTGAGTTGGAGCACGAGCGTGGACCACTCAATTGCATGTGCCGATTTACAGTTCGCTTCACCGGGCGCATGCGGCGCAGTTGTGAGGGCAAATGCATCCGCCAGTTGGTGCAACCAGGTGGTCTAAATGTATATCGATCGGCGCCGTCATTCGGGTTGAGTAAGTTCTCACTGAACACATTGGAGTGCAACTGGTCGCATATCTGTCAGACGTTATTAGCAACAGGTAAATCAGGTTGTTAACCTTGCCACTGGGTCTCTACGCAGGATCTGGAATTTCTGGATGCTCACTGTCGTCTTTCGGCTGAATGCGAACACAGTGAAACTAGCAAAAAACTCATGGAAAAGGTGCGTTCTGGCGTGGAAAATGACCAGGATGCCTGGTTGTCTTATGGTGCATCGGAGTTGGGAATGGCGAATGTTTGATATGCGAAACGGGCGGCAGGAAACCTGGTCTTGGCGAGTCTATATCCGATGAGATTTGACAACTTATTTACAGCCCTTCAAAACGCTTGGAGCATTAAACGGAGCTGTTTGTGGAGCAATTTAATCGACCTAAACTACTACATTCGCTATTGATCAGTGACCGCTCTGTTCCGTGTGTCATCCCCTTGGACCCGTCCTCACGCGTAGAAGTCGTACATGAAATCCCATTGTTGCAATAGAGTAGGACCTCAGGAACAGATAGATTTCCCTCGGCGCTCTTTATATTTGAGGGACCAGGTCTTGTGGATAATTTACGCAACTTACTAGTGAAGCTATGGGAGCAAGAGACTGTCCTAACCGACTGGAGTTGCTCCATTAAGTCCCAATTTTAAGGGCGTTTCATCTTCGGTATACGGCGATCACTGAGTTGTCAGTCTAGTCTCAATTGCCTCTGTCGTCCTTCATACACTGACTGGACCCCGTGAAATCAGGTCAAGTCAAACTAAGCTTTATGAGTCCTAATGGGTTCGTTTTCATCATTTTCATCACCTCTGTGGACTGCTAGATGATAATATCACTGTAATGCTTAGGGAGAAAATGGGAAATATGCACAACTGTTACTCCAAGAACCGCTCGTGCAGCATGTTAGTAACTTCACTGGGTCAACAAGCAAACTTGAGAGATAAGGCAAAACAGTATTACGATACGATGACATGCGGGAGAATAAAATTCTGAATTTTGTACGATTAGAAGAAAAAGAGCGTTTTGGAAAGATTATTGTGCAGGGGATGAAATTGCGCAGTTAGTACATGAGAAAAAATCATCGTAGACATCTAGATGTCTAGAAATAATCAACTCAACTAAAGAATCTTTAGACAAGCCGCTGCATCTGAAAATAGTTAGATAGATAGATATAGCTAGATAGATAGATATAGTCTTTCTGAAGCAGTCCAAGGAAAATGACAAGAGAGCAGTATAACCAATGGGAATAATGCGACAGGTCACAAACCGAAATATTACAGTCCGAGGTACTGAAAGCATCTTAAGTCTAAGGGTATAAAAAGAAATTTTCTAACTTTTTGAAAAGCTTTACAGACATGCGTGGACAAATAAAGGTTCTGGGACAAACAGACGGTGGAAGAGCTGGGGATGGGATTTTCATTCACAGTAAGGGTGGCGGAAAAATCTATGAGAGACTGCGACTTGTCGCCACGGAGAAAATCAAATACTACATCACTGCATTTAGAAGCATTAAGCATAAGAGATCTGGATGAAGACCATTCCACCAGGTCGTCCAACCCACGTTGAAGTGATGAGGAATCCTGGATAATTGGGGCCATACATCTCTGCACAACCTCGTCAGCATGTTTATACCCAATAAACGTGATTCGTATAGGGAGGAGTTCACCATACAAGGAAAATAGAAAAGGGTACGGGATCGCTCTTTGCAGATCACCACAGTCAACACGGTGGACAGAGGATTTCTTACCGTTCAACTTGGTGAACTGAGTACTATACGTAACAGATTACATACACCCGAGTGAACTCCGTTTTCGGATAGTAGGTTTATCAACATCGACCTGTTCAGGCTTCCAAAGGTATTCGAATAATCCAGGAAGAGAAGCCGTACAGATTTACATTTTTGATCTACTACAAAGGTTATAGAATGAACAAGATATGCCACTACATCTAACGTGGAGCGCTGGAGTCTATATGCAAACTGGTAGATAACAGTCTTTTGAAAACTTTTAGTATTACAGATGTTCATGTAATTGTGCGATACTTTTAAGATCCATTTTTTGGTACTGGGGTTGTACTGGTCGTTCTCCAAATGTCCGGGATCACACCCATAGTGGGGCATTCGTTAAATCCAGCTTCATGAAGAGCAGACCGGGTTTCGTTGCAGTTAATGCTTGCTTAACAACGTTTCCACTTTACGTCAATCGCTGGAGCATCATCACTTATACTGACGACACCCCGTAGCCATGTTTCACAAAATCAAAGGCACCTTCCATTCGGTGGGCCCATGTGCCCTTTGGGACTGTCTGCTCAGGAAAGGCTTACTTGCTAATTATATAAATTTCATGGCAGCACTGTTTTCGCTTATTTCGGGTAGAGTGAGTGCTTATGATATACCGTCGCCGCCCTTCCATATCTCCAGCGGTGTGAGACGCATGCCTGCTGTCGCCCTTCCTTTTTAACTTCGCCATTGATCAGGTCATTAAAATTGTGTTCATTGGGCACTACTAGGAAGGTGTGAAGCTGCTCCCAAGTGACCAACTTTTTGGCTTTGTGTGCGTGAACGGCATTGCCCTAAACTGTGACAGTACTCAAACTTAACAACTAGTTCTGGTTATCACTCGTTTCGGGCTATGATTCGCGACTTTGAACTGCAAACTACTTCTCCAATATTGGCACTGGTCCACTCCTCGCTGACCCTTGGTGGGTATTAACTAGAAGTCGTTCAGAAGCGCAATGGGTTGAACCCCTCTTTACGGTTCTGAAACCTGTACCATCAGATTGAGAGACATGAGGAGGCTGGTTACGCTCGATTATCGCTGCTTTCGCAGCTTATCTCATGTCTGGTGGGAGCACCGCGAGAACGATGAGTGTGTTTGGTCTCGTGTATTTAGTGCAACGAAGAGCTTGTGGACTGCTCACCACCGTTATTTTACGCACCATACTCCGATGACTAGACCAGCAGTTGTGCATGCCAACACACCGACTCCTTGGTGGGCAAGGAAGAGTAGGAGGGGAGGCGATTCTATGACCTGGTTAGGTAAAGTGTAGGCGTTGACTTCAAAGTTATCCTCGGTTAGAGCATCTCGACACCCCGGTTGGGGTCGGAAGGACGACGAATACATTTGGTCGGATACGGCTGTTGATCTGGTAAAGAACCGACTTCATTGGCGTTTATGCTGTGAGTTACTTTGTGCCTCTCCATCCCACTTAGCCTTCTCATCCAACAACAATCTCAGTGTCGATGCATAATAGTTAGAAGGGACAGGATTGCATTTTTACATCTCCTTTATTATTTGTTCCTTATAGACTACCATACTTTGTAGTGCGACACAATACAGCTGACAAGTTGGATGATGATGATGTCGACGCTCCTCTTCATCAGCGTATTTGACAAAATTGGATTATCCGATAGGACAGCAATACAGGAGCATGCTACGTACCAGTTTATTTGTTCAATTACGTCTTTCATGATATTGTCCTTATCGTTTAAGGCATTTGCGGTTAGTTTTTTGGTGTAGAACATCGAGAATATAACCGCCACCGTTGCACACGCCTTAGAGCCCAGCGGACCTAATTCTCGATTGCATATTTTCTCGCCAATAGTGTCATCGTTTGATTTGATTTTAGGCAATCACACCGATTCTGTACAAACCAGATCTTTCGTATGTATTTCAGGTGACCTTGACTTTTAATACAGTTGAAATCAGGATATTTCTCTGCATTTTGAGAAAAGATGTTTCCTTTTGGTAGACGACCTAAATTAACAATCCCTTGTGGCGCTTTTCACTTTCAGCATAACCCCAAGGCTGTCTTTCGCTTTGGATTCTTTGCTGGTGTCTTTCTGGTTCAACTAGTTGTTATCACTCTAACATGTGAGTCAGCACTGTAGACTTTCTTATATCGACACTACACCACACCTCGTTCGCTATCTGACCCTCTCAGTACTGCTGACTGCTGGCATCAGTACGGTTTCCGATCACTTGTTACTAAACGCGTGGCAAACCAGATTCAAGGTAAACGCTTCCGCTACCTAGGAACCGCAGTCTTTTCCCAACAAGCAACGTATACTACTTTTCTGGCCCATAGGAAATGATAATGCGTCTCATGCTTGCGCTCTTGCAGTATAAAATCTTCATATTTATCTTTTTAAAGATGCTCTATGATTTTCGCTACCGCATTTCGTGATCATTCAATATACCATACAGCTGCGCTTCACAACCGTGTGACAGTCTTGTGGATGTCTGGTTAGCAGTCAGTGGGTGAGTATATGTGGGGTTAGGCTTATGCACGAGGCACAGTAATTATGAGGTGTGCACTTACTATATGTTTTGCTTTGGTCACAAAAAGCGGCTGTGGGGTTTCCCTGACAGAAACTATATTTCGGAGTCGCTTGCCATCAGCGTTACCCCTATGGCCCGATTCGTCTCACATCATCATCACCATCATCGTCGTCGTCGTCGCTCTTCCTAATTGTGCCTTCTTATTCCCATTTCCATTATTTATTGTACAGTTTTGTTTTAACTGACCACCAACTGATAAAAGACTTTTTCATTTCACCTTCTGGTTTCGGCTACGCGTGTTGTGCTGTTGATTGTCGCCGATCTGCTAGCCTCGTACATCGAATATCGGATCTAAGGCGTAAAATTATTGTACCGACTAATTTTCTTCTCCCGACCGGCTTGTGCGACTAACTGACGGCCTACCGAGGATCGGGCTTTACCGAAGTTCTGGTCCAGCCTTCTTACTTTATAGGCTGGGAGTTCTTTTTATGTAGTTACGTCCTTTCAGTTTGGCCTTTCCACTACATATTTGGTGACTCCGATTTCATTTTTTGAAAGCTCAGAACTCCCTTTTTGCGCCTTTTCTATTTCGGACCACGTTTCCCGCACTGACATTTCAGAAAATGTTGTTCGTCTCTCCCCTGCCTTGAATTCATCTAATCAGCATGTGGTTTTAACAATTGGAAGCCCTTTTTCGCATAACTCGCATTACTTCACAGTCATTAATGTTCGTACGTGTCACTGCACAGCTTCCTATCCAAATCGCAACTGACATTATGGCTTTGCTCGATCGGATTCCGACCGACGCACCTTACCATCAACTGAAAGCTGCCGTTTTAAAGCGCACCACGGCTTCCGATGAAGTTAGACTTCGACAGTTACTTTCCGGTTTTGAACTAGGCGGTCGCACGCCGTCAAAACCCCTCAAGCACGTGCGTACCTTGGTTGGTTCCTCTAAAATCGATGACAATTCCACGACAGCTCCTTACAAAATGTCTTCCATTGAACACCTCAGCTTCTCTCGCTGTGTTCGCAGATGATCTGTCTTTGGACAAGCTGACCGAGAGGGCAGACGACGTTGATGGGTGCTTTCATTTAAACGCAGCATGTCACTCAGTTGAGTCGACCGCTAACGCCGACCATAATACTGACCAGTCATTTCCGAGAGGTTCTCGAAATTGGAGCTCGCTATCTCGAGCATTAATCGCTACCGTGTTAGAAGCCATAGACGTTCCTCTCGAAGTGGACTTAGCCCTGCCAGAAGCTCGACACATCATTTCTGTTGTTACCACCACCGTTTTGGTGATTATGCAAGGAATTGTCGACCTGGTTGTAAACAAGAACAACAAGAACAACAGCAGTACATCAGCAACTTGGACTGATGCTTCGCTGCCATCCAACCATGATGACCTATGAAATAAAGAATAATATGTGGGAGAGAAGGGGGACTTACCTGAAAACCTTAATGCTCTAAGCAAACATTCAGGGTCACGTCGCCTACACTTTGTGCATACAACATGCCGTCACAAACAGCTGGCTATCGTGCAAATACAAGGTGGCATCGGTGAGACAGCTTCTTTGCGGCTTTCACTGCCACCCTACAGATAACAGCACCAAACACACTTTAAACAGGCAATCCGATTAGGAGACGGTAGCAGACGCGCCACTGATGTCTACTGCGAGCCATGCCCTGTAAAGTCTCGAGCCAAGCACAAGGCGAGTCACGTGGACTCCAGCCCGAAAGACGAGACGGACCAACGGCACTCAGCTTGGTCGTCAGTAACTTCATTTCCTGCTGCCAAGTCAATTCCTGTCCACCTCGATCCTTGCGCCACCCTACACCTGGCAGACTAGACAAGGCCCTCCTAGGTAAGTGGTGACCAGGCATACGTAGCAGTGCCCGAGCCAACGTAACTTATTCAGGGCTATCTGTTATTCTACAGAGATAGCATGATTATCCCCACCTATCATTGTTGCGGACACGCTGGTGCCATCGGACTCCAGCAATGCTTCGCAGACAACGATGATCCAATACTTGAAGGCGCCTCAGATCTTCCGACGGGAGGGGCCAAGTCTCGTTACCATAGAGCAGAACGGCCCTCACTGTGGCCTTGTATACACGGCCTCTCAGACGAAGAGAAATTCGCTACTGTCGCCAAAGATGCCGCAGATTCAAGAAAGCAGTTTTGGGTTTTGTAATGCGTAAACGGACTTCAGTTTCTATGCTCCCATCGTTGCTGATGCAGCTGCCAAGATAAGTGAATTGATCAATCACCTCGACTTCCTCGTTAGCAAGCGTCAAGGGGTTATAAAGTGACTGGTTGTCCTGCAGCAACACTGCACTTTAAAGGTGCGCAACGCATACCAAATAATGGGACCATTCTAGACAGGCTATTCAGGGTTGATTGTGCCGCCGCAACATTGTCGAAAAGCAAGATGATACCGTCCGCGTAACCAAGATCAACTTAGCTTTCACCAGGCAGGTCTTCAACGCCTATATCGTGAGATTCCGCAAGGGAACACTCCATGATAGAATCCACGACGAAATTGAACGGAAATGAGGAAATCGGACAACCCTGACCAACGCCACGTTGGAAAGCTATCCGATAGGCCACCGTGGACCCTGACGCGGAATGTAGTGTTCGAGTATAAAGCATTTAGGATGTTCACATATTTCGTGGAAGCACCTTTCCGCGCAAGTATTGCGAACAGAATGCATCGATCGACTGAATCGAACGCACTCTTGAAATCAGGGAACACAGTTATTTTCCATCGCAAACTGAATATATGGTTTATACAGCCACGCCCTTGGCGGAAACCTGCCTGCTCTTCCATAATCCGAGATGCCCATTCTGCAGTGAGGCGAGGAACGAGAATCGAGGCCAGTACTTTTGTCACAACTGGCGTTAGGCTAAAATCACTGTGGTTAGAACAGTCTGTGCGACTGCCCTTCTTGTATATTGCCACTATAATCGATTCGGTCCAATCAGGGTTCGCCTTTTGCGCTGACCATTGGTGCGGATCAGTTAGAATTCCTTCGGAATTTCAACTACCTGTAAAGTTGTATCAACGCCTTTTTGATCAAAGATGAGATCACGAACCGTATAGCAAAGGCTCGAGGTGTTTTTGCTACTCTTTTCTACCTATGGTGGCGGCGCGACATCACTCCCATCTTGAATGGTAAAGTGTGCTATGCAGCGGTAGGATCGACCCTACTGTACGGTTTCGAAACCGTGCCCTTAGATCAGCGGACATAAAGGGTTAGTTAGGTTCGACCACCGGTGCCTTCGCAGTTTGGCTCACATCTGGTGAGAACACTGCGTGGGCAACGAGCGTGTTCCACGCGTTGTTTACTGTACAGGAAAAGCAATTGAACCGCTTAACACCGTTGTTCCATACACCAGGTTCCGATGGCTGGCACGTGTTACGCATGCCAACCCACCGGCACCCGCGACGTGCGTTGTTTGCTCGCCGGGGTTGTGGGTGGAAGGAGAAGAGAGGTGGCCAAGCGATGACTTAGTCGCGAGGAATGAAGGCCCTCACTTCGAAACTGGCCTCGGTTTGAGCGTCACAGCTCCCTGGTTGGGGTCCAAAATATGATGAATACGTTTGGCTAGATACACTTGTTGATATGGCTAGGAGCCGACCTCAGTTGCGTTCATGCTGTGAGTTGGGTTGTCCCACCCCATCTTTTTTATCCTCCCCTCCAACTACGATCTCAGTTCGTAGCGTAATATATCTATTTCTGCTGCATAGTAGCCGGCAGGTATCTTTTCGGAACGATGCACATCGGTTGCTGGTAGCTCAGCTAGCATGCAACTGTTGTAGTTATTTATTTTTTCTTTTAGGTATTACGGCACAGTAGCTGAGGTGTCTTGCACCTCTAGCTAACTTGTACATAATAACACCAATACTAATGATGGTCGTGCTTGACTACCGGTAATTGCGGAGTATAACACATCTGATGAGAACATCGGATGAGAAATGCTGAGATCCGGCAGTTTGTTTTTGACAAGAAGCCTACTGGTTTTAGGAGGCATATTGTCATACCATCGTAAGGGATGGTTTGGGCTGTACGGTACACAATGTTGTGCTGTCCTGTTGTGAACCACTAACCATGTGTGGTGCGCACCTACATGTGATGTTGGTGTGGCCTGCAACTGTCATTGGCGCGCATGAGCATCGGATTAGGCACATTAGCCGGTTAAATCCTCTCCGCAGGTTCCTATTTTCAGAACTCATTTGGGAATGTATTTTATTTTGTTTACTCTCATTACTTATTCTTGTTTATTTTTATCTACTTCCTGATACTGACATTGTACAGGTGCATATTTGACCACTATACTGCATTGCGGCTTTAAACGTACCCGCCAGATCCAATCCTAACTAGTATGTATATTTATTACAGTAACTGACATCTTTTAGTGACTCTGAGGTAACGGTTTTCATCAGATCGCTTTGTTCCTTCGCCTCTCTTCGCATTTTCCAGTTTCCGTATGAAATTAGAATGAATAACCTAACTTATAGTTCGCATCGTTGACATTTTATGGTCGAAGTTGCGCATCAAGTAACCTCTTTCTTCCGGATACTGGCAACAACCAAATGTTTCCTATTTAAGACGGCCGTCGTTTTCGTCATATTGCTAAACCCGCAGTCAGCATACTCGTTAATCCTGCTCTTCATCATGCCTCAGTACACCAATTTGCATCTTATCATTTGCTTATACTTCAATCATACTTACTATCAACCTACACTTCTGGCGTATGCTAAAAAAAAACCGGCGAATTTTTATCGTGATTATCGATTTTTACGAAGTATTTTGACATAATAGACAGTAATTTTCCATCACTATTACTTTGGTATATTCTCATTTCTTGTTTCAGATACCTTCCTGCATTCTCTCCCCAGAAATTATGTTCCCGCTTTGCGTATCTTCCGGAGTACATTTCTTCTCATCCTCTTCCTTTGTCTTTTTGGCTTGAATACATATGTATGGCGTACATCTGGTGTCAATCATGTGCTTATATTTGAAATAAATCCCAGGTCGCATTTGGATCACTATCAACTGCTTGAGGTGAGCTGACAAGTATTTGACTACCATTATTCTTCACCTACCTCACGTAGCTTTTTGGGACTTAGAGCCATCACTCTTGACATGCGCTCGTTGCCTCGCCTCCTTGTTCATCCCAACTTACTGCTTCTTAGTGTCGGTTTTCATTGGGCTTTGGCGAGACAATTTATACTGCTCAAACTAATTACTTGTACTATCCGAATAATGAAGATCAACTCACTCCCTTTCGTTGCCCACATGTAAGGGAAGCAAGAGTGATACAAGCTTATCATAAATCTGTCTTGTCAACTGAATTCAAATATCGAAAATGTGCGTCGTTTTGTCCGTAAGTTGCAATTATTGACAAGTGTTAAGCACTGCAGCTCGACTTCAGTTTCTTTTGCTTCGCTACGGCACGCTGCCTGATGTCAGCATCAGACAGAATTGGCACCGACAAACCTCTGACCTCCCAATTGCCCATCTATCTGTGCGACAGTAATTCTGCCGTTTCGTATTTACTTCATGTACAAAACTACACACTATTGTTTCATATTGATCTCAGTCTTGTGTCCCACTCCGTTGCGGAATATGCGAATTCATTTGGTGAGACTTGTCATCACTGCGGAGTTATGTTCCGTCATAGGGGAAGTGTGATTTCATCTGGTGCAACGACTGACAGACCTATCCGATTCGCGTACTTTGAAACTTGTCGCATTTTCTGCTGCACGCAGCAGACTTGATAAGTGAAGATAGCCAGTTGATGAAATACCTCTGCTCAAGTTTCTATACTCTGGCGTGTGGTAAAGTTGGCCCTCTTAAACACACGTGGTTCGGCGACTAGAGGAAGTAAGAGCACCGTGGAATCGTTTAATTTACGTCTACTAAGCGTTCTAAGAAATCATCCACTACTGAGACAAATAGAGACGTTACTGTCATTTGAGTTAATAATAGGTAACCATTTTTCGGTTTTCGAGGGAGTACTCTCGGAAGGGACTTTTTGTTCTCACTTCCCCTTTTTGACTCTAACAAGCGTTACATAAATTGGACCGTGTTTCATTAACTTAAAGGACTCCATACGAATGTCACCTTCAGAGGCACTGGTTTTTAAGGACTTTATTTCAGCGACTTCGACTTTCGTATATTCACGAGCTATCAAGGATGTTAGTGTATTTCCATTTGAGATGTTATTATATTCCGCAGCGTATCAGTTGCTCCTTCATTTGACAATGGCAGACTGACTTGGTCTATGGACCTAGTAGACGTTTCTGTCAATCTGGTGATTTGTCACTGGTTCTCCTCCAACCTCTTGGGTATAGGGTCGGTGATGGTTTTGACAAGGTCATTGACTTTTGTTCTCATCCCTCGCCTTACTTTAGAACGCATATTTTTGGCGATGTATGGGGTTGTAGATTTTTCAATCGGACAAGGTTGTTTAGACCTCTATCTCTCCTCAGTTGATGCTAGAAGCGTGTTACATGACCTCTCCTGACAGATCAGTGCTCCTGAAATTCATGATATCTTTGTGTTTGTCGCTTACTATGCTGCGTTTGCTATTGTTGCTCAGATGTTGCTTCGTCAAAGCGTCAGCGTATTTTAGCTCCCCTGGTTCACTTTTGATATTTTGGACACATTATCGCCAGCCACTGTAGCTATGACCGTCCTACTTCCTCCTTTCAATTTCAAGGTATTCTCGATCGTAGCATATTCACATCTGATGGTCTTGTTGTTCAGAAGTTGAGTGCTGGTCCAAGTGGACTTTGGCTTATCCGGTTTTCGCCAAAATCGTCGCATCATCTGACTGTTTTGAAACAGCGCATTTAACTTGAGTCAATACATGACGCTTTCCGACTTCTTTGTACGCACTCTGTACTTCCAGTTTCCGAAGTACTTTAACGCGCCTACTACTACTGCTGATTTCTCGGAATTATGATGGTGAGAAACTAAAGGAGGTTGATTTATCTATCTACACTAGCCGCTAGATTAGCAGTGATATGCGCACATGCCGTAATTAAATCCCGTATTTCAGAAGGTATGTGAATCTGAGGCACTCATCAGATGGGTGTTTTCCTCTGGAGGAAATTTTCTGCGCAAGTGACCATGACGGGAATCATTCTTCCTTTTAGCAGCTAAATTATCTCCTCTAGTGTAAGAATTGCAAGTGTCTTCAATCGTTTACCCATCATTATCTTCTTCGTATTGATCGTGTTAAGCAGCGTCATCATGTCCACAGATGACTGCTATTCCGTGGTAAGCAGTGTTGTTCGTAAGGTCGACATGAATGATAATCAATGGCTTTATTTGTATACATCTGTTTATGACCACCCACAGTGTACCGTTGAGATTTCGGTTTTTTATGCTGAATCTGTGTCTTCTCAAGTCTCGATGGGATGTTGATTAATCTTGCCGTGTTAAATAAACTCGACTGTTACTATACTGGGTGCTCTTTATCCGTTTCGCTTTCCAGTTTGTGAGGCACCCGACCCATTTTGAACTTGGATCTATACCCTGTAGTACACAGCACTCATTCGAAAGCGGCGGTAGGGTAATTAGTCTCATTTTTTCGCCTTCCCGCATTCGTCTAGTTGCTCTGAGGAGCGTCAGATACACCCCCCCACGCACGCGAGTAGCGGACCGAGTTCAGCAGCTCTGGCTTGTTTTGTTCAAAACTATTGTTGGTGCTATTAAAGTTTCTGTCGATCAACCATTATGTTTTTACCGTTCCGCCTAGACTTACCTATATATTGGAGGTGTGCCCGAGATGTAGGTTTAGATGATACATGCAATATATGTATTTCTATGAAGGACTCTTAGTTCTTAACACTGTAATCAATATAGTGACCCAGACGTATATAAGACGTTAAATCGAAAATAAGCTAGAGTACAAGGAGAACAACTTTTCGACATGCGGTTTTTGGTCATCTTTAATAGCGCTTTCAACTGGGAGACCTCTTTGTCTTGGGAACGCAATGCTGTCTTCCGTAGCTATTGTTGAAGTCAGCACTTAGAGACCTCACGCCCATGTCGCTCGTTGACCACCTCGTTCCATTCAACGCTGGCTAGCTCAAGGAGGAAACCATGAGGCAACCAATGGGTAACCATGAGAAGCACCCTTCCAACCCATTGAAGCAGATGCGTCGAACCTAAATAGCCCGACTGTCTGCAGCGTTTATCTGACTCAAAACACCGTTTATGGACCTCATCTTTATTAACATGATGTTACCATCCTCCGACGGCACTGGTGGCCCCGAAAACGGATACTCTCAGATTGTCTTTTACGACGAGCTAAGTTTAGGGATCTTGGGGTTGCGCTGTTCGTGTTGTATCATTGTGGAGTATATATTTTGTATTCATGTTGACACAAGGGTGATGAAGATTTGTAACTAGGTCTGAGCTGCTAATTCATCAGGACTTAGGTAGCTCCCATTGCTTTGCAACCATAAGGTCACCGGTTCGAATCCGCGTAGGGGTGGGCGTCCTCGCGGTATACTCAGCCCGCGCTTGACTGGTGGTGGTTGCGCGGCAGCGAAGCGCCGTTACGGCGTACAGCGGACACATTATTCATTATCATTACATTGGAGACAAACTTCCGACAATCTCCGGCTTGATGATTTGGACTATGTTCCTTACTCCGATGATACTATAATTTACGCACACATGACATCCACTGTTCATAGCTTCAACAAAGCGTCCAATTTATGGACTTTTCACATGTAATCTGGACTCACACACCCAGATTCGTCAACATCAAGACGAAACGGCCTAGTAATTGTTACGGATGAACCAGATGATTGAACCGAACGCTGAATGTTGTCGTCATAAGCTACAATTATGCATGCTTTTGAAGCTTTCTGTGACCCAGACATGAGAAGTATGAACCGTGAATGAATGTATGATACTTTTATCCGTTTTTAAAACACATGTAAATTGCTGCTTTTAAATATTCATTTTCAGTGTGTGTCCATAGCGCCCTGCAACGGCATCGGACCAAAAATTGTCTGAGAACATTGGTGGGTGAGAAAAGCCTGTGAGATGCAGAAAGTCAGCGCTAATAGAAACAGCTGAGTACTGTACGAACCCATCAAGATCATCTATCTAAGAATCCTTTGGTTGGTTGGACGTTAGCTGGGAAATGTGGAAAGTCGATCCATTCTTATTGGTGCTACTGAGACGTTGGGTAGAGCATTTTGAGGATCATTTAAATGGACCTACTTACTGAATAACATGAATCCACCTAGTGCTTTTGAACGGTCTACGGTGAAGTAATCCTATATGTGCAATCATTGATTGAGTGTGCTCCTGTTAGTGGGGAATCCTATCATCTTCGATACTGTTCAGCTCATTTTGGATGCTCTGACCAGTATCACATAATGAGATTGCCCTTGTAAGTTGTCAAATGGTCCCTTCTTTTTCCTCTGGAGTTGGAGTTCTGCAAGGTGACCAGCTGACAAACCTTGGATTGGGCCCAGTAGTTATGAAGGCACTACTGAATGCGCTGAAGTTTAGCGCCGCGCATTTCGTTATGCGTTTTGTACCTTCAACACGCAAGTTACAATTGCAGTGCCTGTTTCGACACCTTCCCAGTACATGCTATCCCCAAACAGCTACCGGAAGTTGTCGATAGGTCCAATTACCTCGTTAAACACGTTGTCACTGGTGATTACTATACTGCTAAGCGAAACCCATGTCGTTTTTTAAGCTCCAGTCATCCGTGAAGACTAGTAGTCATGCGTATAGCATGCAACGCAACGATACGGCCGGTGTTACCATATATATATATATATATATATATATATATATATATATATATATATATATATATATATATATATGAAAATTGACCACTTTATACTAAGATTTCTCGTCATTAATCACCGGTGCTTGCGTATTGGTCCCACCGGATCTCACCAAAGTTGGAATCTGACAGTTGTTGTTTGGAAAAGAAATCAATGGAGCTTCACTGGGATGTCCGTTAACTTTGAACTACTTGCGTTGATTAGCTCGTTACTCGCCTTCCTCGGTGTGCA